TATGTTAATCATTCAGGGAAAGTCCGTTTAAAGGTTGATGTGACAAAGTGATCAGATCTCAATCTTGACCAATGATTTCAGTCAGCTCCTTTCAAGACTGGAGATTTACAGGGACCACAGGTCTCTAGATAGTGTCCTGAATCTATGATCATCTGGATTCTGGGAAGGGCAGAGCTCCACATGACTAAACCCAATGCAAGGAGAGAGAACCACCTCCCGGGAATGGAACAGTCCCTCAACCATGAGGATTCCAGAGCTAGGAAAGAACCGAGATAGCGATCAGTAGATCCCAGCCCAGCGGCCGAGCCTTGAAAGCTGGCCACCAGCCCCTGTGGGTAGGTCAGTCTGATCTCCTTTCTCAGAGTGTGCCCTTTCCAGCTGTTCAAGATGGAGTTCTCTGCTAGTGTTCTTATGTTCCTTTGTTAAGGATCAGTCTGCTCTTTGTCAGCTATTGAGAAAATTCACTATTTTCTCTTTTCTAATTAAAGCTTTTTCCTATAAATGTGTGCTTTAATTTCCATCATTACTAAAAGCAAAGGACCCTCACTAGGCAGCAACAGTGAGATAAACATAAATAAGTACCTGGCTTGTCAGTAGAGTAGTGCTCGAAAGGTAAAGCAAGGTGTGAGGACCATGCCCAAGGAGCAGACATGCTCTTGTCACTAAGTGCGAGGGCAGGGCCTACAGTGATGGGAATCATGGGGGCTAAAGGAATAAACCACGCAGTCATCTGGGAGTGGTACATGTCAGGCAGAGGACAAGGCCCACACCGAAGACTGGAAATGCCCAGCACGAATCGGAAGAAATGAAGAGGACAGACAGAGCAGCTGCAGCGGGACGGGGAAGGTATGGTGTCTGGGCTGGGCTTGGAAGGGCTCTGTGGCTCAGGACTCTGGATTTTATTCCATGTGACTTGAGACGTCGTGGAAGGGCACAGAGAAGACGTTGCTTCGGTTTCAACTACTCTGGTTGCAGGGAAAGAAGTGGTTGTGGAAATAAGAGACCAGCTAGTGAGTCTAGGACAACAGTCTCTGTCACCAATTCCCATGGCTTGGGCCAGGCGGTGAGCAGTAGTGGAAGCAGTGAAATGGAAAGAAGGCTTCAAAGGGAGACCGTGGACTTGCTGGTGCATCGGATGTGGACTGTAGCACAAAGGATTACGGGTGAAGCCAAGGAAACCACTGCTGTGGGCGAGGATGAGTCGGCAAAGTCCAAAGTTTATCACTTACGAGGCTATCACTTCATCATGGCTTCTCGAGAAACAAAAACAAGAATGTTTTAAGTGATGAGTTAACCTAGAAATTTAGGAAACCACAGAGGAAGGGCTTCTTTACCTTATATTGAAATTACTGCTAGTTTTATTTGGACAGCATGAATTTCCTCTTTATAGTGTCTTTAAAGGTGATGCAACTTTGATCCGCAATAAATAACTATGCTGGAGATAAAAGAACTATGCAGAGAGTGATGTAAGTGGTCAAGGAGAGAGCTGATAAGAGTGACATTTAGAAATTTGTGCAAGAATGTATGTTCAGTTTTCCAAATGAGCAGCAAAAAAGCAGGGCATGCTGAGCCCATGCAGCAACAAAGGAAAAAAAGACCACTTGAACCTCTTACGCTTCAGAAACTTCAATGAATTTTTAGTAACTTTCACTAAATGCATTCAATGCCTGTCAACCATATACAGCAAGGCAGGTAAATGGTTAAAATTACCTGAACAAGCCTCTGACAACTCCAGTTTCATGTACTGCGCACAGCAAAAGCTGCTGTTAGGTGGCGGCCTGTTTACATCTGCTTACAACCCACACCTTTTCAAAGGTACAAAGAAAGCAGCAAAGCTGACTTTCAGGAGTTCTGGCCCATGTGCTCACTTCCTCCACAGAGCGCAAAGCTAGCGTGCTAGCTCTGCCAGCCAGAGGGCAGCAAGGAGGGAGGCCAGGGAGGACACTGAGTGGCTGACAGTGACAGCAAGGGAAGAAAGAAAGGCCCCTCTCTCCACACTGCCCCTTTCCTCCGCTTACTTACAGAGCCAAGGCTGTGTCATTTCTTGGCGCACAGGACACCCTTGAGCAGGTAGGGTAGCAACAGGTTAGAACAAAGGACAGGAATGTTTATGCTTTCTTCCTGGCACACCTCTCATTCACAAAGGGCCATCCAGCCCACAGTGCGAGTTGAGAGCAAGGCCTCTGGCAGTGTGGAGGATGAAAGGATCAAGTGACAATAACAGGCAAAATTCCTTCCTCTGAAGAGCACACAGAAAGGCCATTTTATATCCACACCCTGCAACTCTGGGTAGCTCTGAGTACAGTGACTAGATTTGCACAAGAGACCCTAAGAAGGTGAGGGAGAAAGAACACAGGTTTGGGCTGGGGAGACTAATCCTGGAGGCCTGGGTTTCCTTGCTTACAGGCCTGGGTTTTCTCAAATGTCCCTACACAGGGCAATTTTAAGCATCAAATAGGATCATGTATTTGTCTGAAAGCATAGAATAGTCTACAAACATAGTACTTAACTATGAATAGGAAAATTTGAATAAGGAATATTTTCTGTGATTTCTGACCACAAGTAGCTTTGATACTGTGTTTTCAGGCTTTTTGGATGAGAATCAACATAGAGAAACAAACTTCTGTGTCGCCAACCTCTCTGTAGCAGCAACTACTTCATGTCCTAGGACACTTACCACCTCCAACATCCACATAACTTCAAACTGAGTGACACAGTCCTGGGCCAGGAAGAGAGGGCTGGCACTCACAGGACTTTGTTGTTTAGACAACCCAGCAGCAAGGGCCACTTCCCAGCTTAGAGATAAGATTTTAACGAATGTCTTTCTTAGGATAGAATTCTATGAACAATATTAATCTGGGGCCCTCCTGCATTTATTCCACTAGTCCTTCAGAAGCTGGTAGCCTTAGCTCCCTCCCTGCTTTCCTCCGTTCCTTTTGCTCTTTTCTTTTACTTGCCATACTAGGGATTGAACCTAGAGTCCCTGCAATGAGCTACATCCCCAGCCCCTGTCTTATTTTTTGGGGCAGGGTCTTGTCAGGTTGTTGAGCTGCCCAGACGGGGCTCACACTTGTGCTCCCCCGCCTCACCCTCCCACAGTGCTGGGATTACAGGCATGGCCACCATGCCCAGCACTACTCTTCCTTTGTGGTGGTGCATCCTACCCTGATTGTCTGCTATAGTTTGGGGCTATTTTGGGGCCCTTTTTTCCCCCCTCTCACAAGAGTGAGTATAATACCATGGTAACAAAATTACATTTTCTTTCCGTTTTTGGTTCAGTATTTAAATAGCCCAGTTGAATCTGAATCACACAGATTATCTTATCCCCTTAACTACTGATTTAACTCCTCACCTCCCTAGTACAAGTCAGTATCAGTTTCTTTTTTTAAATTTTATTTTTATTTTATTTTATTTTTTTAGTATCAGTTTCTTATTTAGCTCCTAACTGAGAAGCTACTGGCAATATGTTTTGAGATGATTGATAGCCACCTCTCTTGGAGTTCAGACAACCGCTCATCATTTACACCTAAGTCTCTCAGTCAAACCACCCCTTTCTTCTGATTCTCGTGAGGATCATTGAGAAAGAGGGTAGCAGGACAGCTGGAAGGTTAAGAGTATTTTGGCAATCTATCGTCCCTCTTTTTCCCCTAAGAATTAGAAGGGGAGAAACATAGTTGATCAATGATTTTTAGCGGCCCTTAGGTGACCCTTTGGGATAAACTGAAGGTAATTGTGCTAAGTAAGATGAGGAAAAATTATTTCTTCGTTTCTGAATGTGCGCATGACAACTGCAATCATTCCTCCTCCCAGACACCTTCAGCATCCCCAGTATTCCACTACTGTACACCATGCTGACATGTTCAACCCGGTCTCAGGTCTCATTTAATCATCACAAAGGCACAGAAAGCACATACATCATTGTCATCCCCATGTTACAGAGGAAACTACAGCACAGAGGAACTAAGCGACTTGCCCCGGGGCATGCAGCTATTAAGAGATACAGCTAAGATCAAACACAGGTTGCTTAACTCCTGAACATTATCCTATGCTTGTTCTTAAGTGGAAAGAGGCTCCAGCCCCGTTTGTATGAAGTGTGTGTCCACACACGCAGTGACGATGGGGACCCTTGCCTAGTTCCCTAGCCTTCCACCTACCTCACCATCTTGGGGAGCCCAGAACAGTGCTGCCCACATGGGTTACATTCAGCAAAGAACTTGTTGACTGAATGAATACATAGATGAATGAATAAATGCACAAAACTGAGAAGCACACATTGACATGGTGCTGCCCATTCGGAGGAGCAGTCAGGCTCTGGGATGCCCGTGTGAACAGTTAGGAGGTTTCCAATCTGAGTGACAAGTGAGACAAACACTCCATGGTTGGAAAATTCTTTTTGCTAATGCATTTACAGAGGACACCGTTAGTGCATGCAGCCCAGTGAGTCTCAGAGTTGTTTGCCACTTTGTGATCATAGGTAGTGGCTGGGCTTCAGTGGAAGGTGATGGGTCTGTGCCTATGAAGTAGCCCACAGGGTCATTATGGTGGTGAGTTAGCACACGCAGGTCCCAGGAGCAAGGATGGGTGGTTCCTTGACTGACTTCTGTCTTCTTCCCCTAGTTTAACCATGAACTTCCCTTTTTGTTTTTCCCTTGCGCCAAGCCTTCCCCAATTAGCACCTGACACTGTGTCCCCCAAGCAAACTCCATGCCCATCCCAGCCTGCCTCCTTCCTTCCCCAGAGGCTTGCATCTCTTCTACAGTCCTCCTGTGCTGAGCAATAAAGGATTTTTTTTTTTTTTTACTTTTCTATTGCTTCTTTTTCTCACCAAAGGAAGGAACTTTGCAGAAGGGAAATGGGTTTATATTGTTATAGTTTTATGTTTCGAAGCACTGCAATGATCTCAGTTGCTCTGAAGCCAGTGAAAAGGAGAAAGTATTTTAGAAGCACATTTCAAGGCAGGCATGAGAACCCTCCCTAAAAATAAAGTGATACAAACGTACCTGTTCTGAAAAAAAGTGGAAGCCCTTGTCCTCTCGAACACACTCGTACGTTTCTCCGAGCACCGGATTAAATGGCTTGCTCCCAGCTCTATAGTAGCTGGACGCATATGCGGATATGGCAAAGGCTGCCATGTACACCTGAGGTGGGAAAGACAAGAACTTGGTTACTTCTGGGCCACCAAGAAATCTGTTTTTCACAAAGAAATGAGAAAACCCTCCATTTCTCTCTTTATGCCTTACTGTAGGGAGCCAAAGATGTAGCTCGAGTTTAAAGATAACTGAATCAATGTTGGTTTAAAGGTGTAGGTTTACATATCATTCATCTTGGCCTAGAAACAAGTGAAACATTTTAGAAGTGCCTACTTATTCTGATGCTTAGAGGCTGAGCTGCACTTCAGATGATGACATTTATGAAACGGACTGTCCTGCTGAGTCAGTAAAGGCCTGACGTTAACTGGGAACTCTGTTCATGGGTTCAGGGACGAGTGGGGAAAAGTAGAAAAAGAAGCCAAACTTCCCCTGCAGGAATTCAGGAATAAGTCTGGTTATTCACAATTTTAATATTGTTGAACCCTGAGAACTCATTTTAACCACAGAAAATCTATGAGTATCATTTCCTAAATTTTGGCAACAACCACAGTATACAGTGGCATTAAAGTTCTGTTTTCCTGGAAGAAAACAGAAACATTAAAATCAAAAAAAAGGAGGGCAATGTATATGTGTGTTATGGTTTGTGTCTAGTTGTCTCCCCAAAGCCTCATGCAGTCATGGGGTGAGGACTTCTAGAGTTTGTGTTAATTCATGATCCACTGGGATTATGTGTGATCCAAGGCTGGGATTATGGGTCTTAGTACTGCTGGGATTACCCATAGGTGGGTAAATACTGGGAAGTACCCATAGGTGTGAGTACTTCCCCTACCCTGGGGCAGGCAATTTGCATTACAATGTAAGGTGGGAAGAGAAGCTAGCTGCTTGAGCTGCTGCTACCCATCCTTTGCGCTCTTGCTCTTTGCCACCACCATGAAAGGTTGCTTTCTGCTATGTGCTGCTCTGCGTTGGACCCAGATGAGTATGGACTGAAACCTCCAGTAACTGTGAGCTAAATAAACCTTTCCTTCCTTCATTTTGAGCGTCGGGTATTTGTCCCAGCAACAGGAGAAGAGTAACTAAGACAATGTAACTATGAAATGCACAAAATCCTGGAATTCCTAGATTTTTATCAGTTTTTCCTTCATCCATCAAAGAAGCACATTGTCTTTTCTTGGTTTTGTTCTGTTTTGTTTTGTGTTTTCCTTGGCTGGAAAGGAAAACCTGGGTCATAATAGCAAAATTCCCTTTCTAATGTTAAGTGGTAATGATCTCAACATTTCTTCTTCCCAGTATGCTTTTCTATACTGAAGAAAAGCCAAGTGCCTTTCATAAATGTTCACTAGCCACACAACTTTCCTTATTAAACTTCTGCAAAACGTTTGGGTGTTCTCTATAGTGGGTCACCTTGCTGCCTTCCACTACAGATTGCTCCAGAGCTCCTGGATCATTTATAAAAATCAATTCATGGAGGGGATATAGCTTGATGGTAGAGTGCTTATTTAGCACATGTAAGGTCCTGGGTTCTATCCCCAGCACCAGGCATGGAGAGGGAGAAAAAGCATATATATATTCTATATATCTCAGTTCACTATGCTCATGTGGGTCCCATCTGTGACTACCTGTGTTCTTGAGACCCAGGTTTCTATTCTTTTCTTCTTCAAATTTGTGGCATCAGAAACAATGTGGTCATATTGTATAGAGCACTGAGTAGCCATTGGTCACCAAGAACTAGTGCCATCCAATCTACAGGAGGAGACCTCGGGGGAAGGCAAAATGAAGCACCTCCTTGTAGGCTGGCAACACAACAGAAAGTCTCCACAGGGGAATCTGGAGTCCCTCAGAACAGAAAGGAAACCTGGGATGTGGCTCTGTGCAGCAGTTGTGCTGGAGAGGTGAAGCCTTTCCTCAAACTTCTGCTCAAGGTCAAGTACACAAATCAATCAGCAGAATATCCTAAGGGTCTCTAAATTCCCGTAAGACTCAACCATCGTTAAGAATACTCTCGTCAAAGCAACTCATTTTCTTTAAAGAAAAAAAAAAAGCTATCCACACTTCCTTTAAAAGTTATTTGCCTCCGTTTTTATAGCAGATATTCTCTGGAGGAAAGTAACAAAGATTTGAAACACAAACACACACGCTTTTTTTTTTTTTTTTCCTCTCCTGTCCTTATTATCATTAGCATCAAGGAAAAAAGAAAGTCTATTTGATGGGGGAGGCGCACAGCAAAAGGAATATGGATGAATGCCTTTTTTTGGCCTTAGATTTCCCTTTAATCTTCAATCACTGAAGTAATAAGATGTTTTCATGAGGGCTAAACCTGCTGGGCGCACTGAATTTAGAAAAGACAGAATCATCTACAGTGGGAAGGTGCCAGGATGCTAGATCTGAGCAGGGGGAGGGGACCTGTGCTCCACTTCCAACTTAGCCAGGAATAAATGCAGAGTCTGCATTTGGGGACACTGAAGTCCTAGCAACCCATCCAGTCACATATGGGATGCCAAAAGAACAGCTTTCAGAATAATATTTTTCAATAGTTTCAAGAAAAAGGGCTTTTAAGAGTCTATAAAATATGAATGAGGAAAACTAGGGAATCTTTCTGATGTAAAATCTTCTTCTATGAACAATACTTTCTGAAAACCTGTGAAATGATGGGACAGTTTCATAAATAAACATAAACATTCTGAAGGGACACTTACTCTGAATGAGAAAAACAGCTCAAGAAAGTAAGTTCTGTCCACTCAGGGTAGTAAAAATAAACATGCTGAGAGCCCTAAAGCTACGTTTTCTAGGCAAGCCTGTTAGAACCATCAGACAGAAGGTTCTGGAGAGGGAAGCACAAAACCACAGGAAGAGCCACCTCCTGCACTGCTGGCATAGGCGCAGACCCCAAGGAGGTGAGCGCGCAGCCACCAGGCACAGCCACGTGGCTCAGAGAGGAGCCTCTCCAAGGAGCAGCCGAAGCTTAAAGCAGATAGCAAGACAGGAGCTCTAACCAGCGAGGCTCTGAGGGGCCAGGATAGGGCTCAGGACAGGGGACAGCCGGAGAGCAAGGCCGTCGGCTGGGGCTGGGGAGACGGCTCAGTAGAATAAGCACTTGCCAGGCAAGGCCGCAGGCAGGCTGAGTGCTCACCATCCTTTCCAGGGGGCTAGGGATCTGCGCAGCCTTGTCCAGCAGCTCGCTGTACTCCAGCTCCTCACAGAGCCTCTGCAGGGTGTTCAGGGGCTCATTCAGCTCCACGGGCATGGCCACCTTGGACAGGTCCTTCCCAATGTTGTTGCGCAAGATGTTCCACAGGCTGATGTTGCTGGTGTTAGGACCTGGCGCTGGTAGGCATGTCCTTCTCTCGGACCTCACTCTCCCACCATGCTCGAGAACAGGTCCTGAGAGACAAAGACTTGGCTGTTTCTACCAATCTTTTCATTATATTCTGTTACTTACGTAAAAACTTTGTATTAAACCTTACTTGGAAAGTCCTGATTTTACTATTGAAACCCATTTACTCAGAGTGTGACTGAAAGCCAGAAAATAAGGAAAAGAATTCTGGGCAATTAAATATCAAAAATTAAAGCATAGCATGAAGCTCAGTAGTAAAGCTATGCATAGGCTATGTAAGGTCATAGTTTTAATCCTTAGCACCACAAAACAAGTAAAAAAATTCCCAAACTGCACACATTAAAATTCATGAAATTTACTCATAGGGAGGCTCTCGAGTTACTTTTTTTTTTAATTTTAAAGAGAAAAAAAATTCAAAACAAGATAATAAGAGTGTAACAATGGTTAGCACACTGTGTATCATCTTTAAATTACTTAGAATACAAGATATTGACATTTAATTGTCCAAATAGTATTAGCACAAACCTTTCTTTTCAATGAATTAAGAAAAATTAGTACTATAATTATTTTAAATATTTGTTTTTCCCTTCCTTCTTTTCTTTCTTTTTTTTTTCCCCCCAGAACCGGAGATTGAACTCAGGCCCTTGCGCTTGCCAGGGAGGCACTTTTTCTACTGAGCCATCTCCCCGGCCATCCCTTCCTTCTTTTTTCCATTCCTTCATCTCAGTTTCTCTTGCCTTTATGTTCATAAAAGCTAGTTTCTTGTGGCTTATATATACTTACAGTAAAACTAGAAATTGGGTTTCTATACCTATAACAGATGTCAAAAAAATTTTACAAACTTTTTTTAACAAATCACTTCAAATTCTAATAAACAAGTGTGTTTGTCACAGAATAATAATACAAGTCGCAAGAGTCACTCATCATTTTGCCATCTCAAAATAAAACTTGCATTTTGGAATATCTCCACTTAGTGTTTTCTCCATCCCCATAGATTCACAATATACAGATAGTTCCATGTTCAGGTTATTTAGCTAATGGAAGTATTTTTCCACTTTATTTAAAATTTTTCTAAAATATGGTTTTAAATGATTGCAAAAATATTCCACTTATAGATATGCTGTAATTTAGTGAATTGTTTGTCTACTCTTAAACTATTAGATTTTTTCAATATGTTAATTTGAAGCAAACAAAATAAAACCAACAAAAAAATTGGTAATGAATGTTCATGTGCTTAGATATTTTCCTAGGCCCCAGATTATTTTCTTAGCATAAACAAAAGTGGAATTACTATGTCAGAGATTATGAATGCTTTTAAGACTTTTGACTCATATGATCAGAATGCTCTTGATAAAAGGTTGTACCAATATTCTTGTTTATTGGCAATACATGTGAATAGTAACTTTCTGAGGCCTTCCAGGCTTGGCACTATTTGTTTTTCAGTTTTATCAAATTGTTAGGCAGACAATGTTATTATTCTCCTGTTTTAACTTACATTTAAGAAATTTCTAGTATGGTTTGGAATGTGCTCAAGAGTATTTCTTCTTGGCTGACTTGTTTGCTTTCTATGTATGTCTGAAGTCACAATCTTTTGTTTTTATATTTACATTACAATTTAATCTCCATTTGGTCCACAGAGGATTTGGGGGAACAAAACTTTTATATATTTTTTTTCAAATTTTTTTCCTATAATTTTATTGGTAAACAAATAGCAATGAGACAGTTTCAAATCAAATTGGTAGGACAGTTTCAATAATTAACACATTGCATACATTCTTCCCAGTGGTTAACTGCTGTATAAGATGCAGACATGATATCCTATTTACAAACACTGTTAGAACAAATCACTCTATTCATTAAGAGAATGTAACTATATATCTATCCTAACCACTTTGAATACACAGATACAAAATGGACATTCATCTGTATACCTTTTTTTTTTATTAAGTTCCGTTATTTGAATATTATAGGTATGTAAACTCAGCAAAATTTTCTAAAAGAGTCCAGTAGCCCATAATAGTATTGGGTCTTCCGCTTGACTGGCAATGTCAGAAATTGTTGACCTGAGTCCCCTATAGCTCAACATAACAGCATGGCTTTACTTCTTATATTTTGTTTTTATACTTTTCTGATGGATGGTTAAGACCAAGGTAAAGCAGGACCTATGCAACAAGAGTTGTAGCTTTTGGGTCTGATAAGGTCAGTGAAATCCCCTCAGGATTTATTCTGAGATCCTGAGGATTGTAGATCCTTTGTCAGTGTCAGCCATGTGGATGAGTCACAGCCATTGCTTGGCCAATGTGCTCTATATTTTAGATATAAATCTGTCAATCTCTTCCTTTAACTCATGCTCTGAAATTCCTTTCCCATCCAAACTGTTCGTATGATTAAATGACATCTTTTGCCTTGGACCAGTGTATCTTTTTGGTATATCTTTATTTACTAAACATAAATATATAATATTTACTCATTAAAAAAACAATCTCTGTATAAAAAACTGCTTTCATAACAGAAAAATATGAAATTTGGATTAATATTTAAATTTTTTTAAATGCTTAGGAGAAATATCTGACATAAGGAAGTAGCTACAAATGGTAGGAGTTGTAAAAAGCAGCTTTCTAGGGAGTTTCACAGTGTTTTCTTTAAACATATAAATTTAAATTTTGGAATAATGTTACTCTCCATTATACCAATACTACTAGTGTGGATTACACATATTTTGCTTTTCACTCTGTCATGGTCAGTCTAAGCATTTTACATGTACTATCCTCATTTATGCTTTACAACTACCTTTTGAGGCATACACAGTACCACTATCTCCATTTTGGAGATGAAGAGAACGAAGTACAGAAGTAACTTGTCCTAGCACATACAATCAGTGTGTGACACACTTTAGTTAATCAAGGAATTTTCTGAATCCAGACTCTTAGCCACTTATCTTCCCCCAAAGCACCCAGCACAGTGACGGATGCTAACGTGCCCAGTGTTTGTTTGTTTGTTTATTTTTGTTTTGGTAAAAGTAATATTCTAAATATCACATGTTTACTGTAAACTCTAAAAAATTCTAAAAAAGTAATATTCTAAATATCGCATGTCTACTATAAGCTCTAAAAAATTCTAGTTTAACAATACACCAAGAACTTGGTTCTGTCCTATTTCCTTCTCTAGGTAAAACTTATAGGACATAAAGATTATTTCTACATCCATCTCTTCAAAATATTAAGAAGTCAAATATTTCTCAGCCAATGTCATTGCAGAACTGTGGAGCAGCCATTTCTCAGATTCAAACACAGCCATTTCTCAGATTCAAACCCCTGATCCTGCCCCATGTTTGCTTTAACTAAAGCAAAACACAGGTCAGCATACCAGCAAGACAGCTTGGGATAAATTAGAGAGAACCAACCCTAGCTTTGTCATGCTTTTCCTGACTGTTGACAAGGGAGCACAGTGGTGGCCTTGGGTTCTGGCACATGGCCCTCCGCCCAGCTCCAGTGTCTGAGCCCCTCATTCACTCTTTGCTCTCTTTGGCTCCCTCTCTGAGGCCTCCAGGAGGTGGAGGGCTGAAAGCTTTTCTCTTTTCCCCATCTACAGTTGGGAGTGCCACATTAATGTATGTGCTATCTACCAAGGGAGTAAGTGGTGTTTCTTCATTTCTTTTTAATTTGCTCCCTTGTTTTCCTATAAAAACAAGGAACACACGAACTTACTCCTCTATTATTAGCCTTCCACTTTAAACTCACTGGTCCTTAAGCTTTTCCACCAAGGGGCTCATCTCTGCAGAAACATTTCAAGCAGAATGCAGAGCATGACAAGCATCTACTGCTAGCAGGTGCAATGTCTAGAAGGTGCTTACTCAGATGATGGGAAATTTATGTACTTGCCTTTTTTCTATATTGTGGTCCCCAAGAAGAAGCTCTTTAGTGTTTCAACAACAATTCATCATCATAATTCACACATAGTCACTGAGCCGAGAAACAGCAAAGTACTAATGAACATACCCAACGCAGCCCCTGTCCTCCACGCTAATGTGAAAATAGGTGGTGCTTTGAGTAGCACAAACCGTACACTCCAGGGCACCCTGAGCATTAAGACTGAGAACACTGGGTGCTACAAAGACCCATGGAGAGAACTATTCCATTGGGCAGATTCTTTGAAAGGCGTCTTCATAAACAGGTCTCTGAGACTAGCCAAATACTCTAGGTACTCCACAGTTCAAACTAACATTGTAAAATACCTTTCTTAGTCATTGCTTTCCCTCTTGGAATCAAGCAATAATAAAGAGACATCTTAGGATACCTTAAGGGGAGGGAAGGCAGAAGTGTTTTATTCTGAATAATCTGAGGCTGAATTACCATTCAGAACAACCTTTTTATTATATGTGCTGTCAAATTCTTAAATTAGAAAAACCCTTACATACGTAAAAGAGCCATATTTTCATTCTCTTTGCTGAGAGCCCTTTTGTGTGTGTGTGTGTGTGTGTGTGTGTGTGTGTGTGTGTGTGTGTTTTAGAGAAAGGTCTACAGGGTGTTCAGGGTCTCACTACTAGATCAGACTACTAGTGATCCGTCTGATTACGCCTCCCAAGAACTGGGATTATAGGCGCATGCCATCATGCCCAGTCTCAAATGCGCTCTCAGTGCACCCTGGGGGGTGCGGGGCTGGCACGGCAGGCTGGGAGATTGAACCCTTGGCCCCTGAGCCTGCTTGCAGGCACTTTAATCCACTAAGCTATTTGGCTGGCCCACTGAGAACCTTCTTGCTGCCTAAAGGATAGCTGTTATTTTTTGATATGTATATGAAATCTAGCATGTTCTCACTGTATAAAACAAAAAGCTTTACAAGCAGACAAATTAATTTGAATGTATCTATATCACATGGAGGTGCTGTTTCCTCATCTCGACTATAAAATCCTGGAGTTGGGAGAACATGTTCATTTTTCCATGGGATACTTGCTATATATACTTATTAGGAATCTATGAAGATGAATATTTTCAAAGATCAAATAAAGTAAATCTTACCCAAGGTCTGTCTTTCATTATCTAAATCATTACTAAGGTTGTCTAAGGAAAGGTTATCACTTATGTCACTGACATATGAGTCGTCATCAGAAATCTATGGGAAAGCAGAAATAATATAGATTAGAGTAAGAGCAAACAACAGCCCGATTTTCACACATCTCTTATTTTAAATAATCAGATGTACTGAACTCCACTTCATAAAGCAATAGAAAGAATTGCAGGTGCTATTTTTCATAGAGGGACATATATAACTCTGCCTAGACAGTGCTCATGGCAAAACGACTGTTATGTTAAATCCTCATATACTCTTTGTTAGTTCTAACAGAAAAATGGTAAATCAATTCAGGATATTTGTTACCATAAAAATTCTGAATCACATTGCATTTTCAGAATTTACTAGTATTAGAGTAGAGGAGTTACAATTTATCTTTTTAATTTTTTTTTTGTATTTTAGAGAAGGGTCTATGGTATGTTCAGGGTCTCACTACTAGATCAGACTTGTAGTGATCCACCTGTTTACAGCCTCTCAAGCACAGGGATCACACACATGCGCCACCATACCCCAACTTGTTTGCTGGCTCAGCACACCCCAGAGGCAGGGCTGGCGCAGAATGCGAGACTGGGGTCAAACCCTGGTCCCTATGTTTGCCAAAGCAGCTGCTTAGTCCGCTGAGCTATCTTGCCAGCCGTATAATTTATCTTGAACTGTTTATGAAAAACAGAATTTTCAGGGCCAGGGATACAGTTCAGTGGCACAGCACCTGCAGAACCCAACAAGAATTTTCTATGGAAATTAATACATCAATAATGTTACCTCTTCTATATTTAAGGAGCACATCTATTAGTGCACATTTATCCACAGTAATGCTAACTACAGTATTTGCCTATCCAGAAAGATGATTTGCAATGTACCAATTTTTAAAAATACTATATTCTACACATTAATCTTATACTAACCATATTATAATATAAAATTATATTATAAAATTATGATTAAAAATATATAGAATGCTAATCGCTTTCCCTATGATAGAGATATTAATTAGTAAATAGAAGTCAGAATTATCAGTCTGTAATGAAAATGTAACAAAACGACAGAAATGAGGAGGTGTCTAACATTTTCTACATTTACAACATTTTTCTTCTAGCCTATCAAACCATTTTGTGTTATGGGGGGTTTGACTTAACAGAGAACACTCAGAATTCTGTGGTGGAAAAAGGCCTATGAGTTTTGTGTTTCTACATATGAGTCTTTACTGACCAAGTTAATCAACAAAGACACAAAAGCAATTGTCAAGGCATCTAATGGAAAACAGCGCTCAAACCTCATTTTCTGAAGAGCTTGGGGACAACAGAACTTCTTGTGCATCAAAAAACTCTGAAAGGGAGTCAGTGATGGAGAGCCTGCTTTCGTTGGAAAGCTGATGGACCAGCTCTCGGTTTTCATCTCTGGAGTTTTCCTATGTGACGAACAAAACCAAAAATACCTATATTCAGAAACAGTCTCAAGAAATGCAAACAAACAAAAAAAAACTAAGGGTTTTAGTTGCTTGATACACAGGGTGAGTCCCATGCAAACAAAGTGAGATCAGTGCCAAAGCCGAGAATAAGCCTCACACAAAACAAAATGAAAAGCAAAGTTCTCCTGCAAACACGCTTCACTTACAGGCACTGCTCAGGCACATGCTATGAATCAATCTTGAACCAAAAGAGCAGCTATCCAGGTCAGATTTTGATTCAACTGAGGGGGAAAATTCCAATGTTCTGTGAATCACATCCACTTATTCTCTACCACCGCATGACATATCTTTTTATCTTGAATTTCCCTCAGAATTGTACTGAATGCCCACCCTCATGTGGCTGGTTCCACACGGCACAGCTTTCTTCTGCACCTCTCAAAGGCCAGTATGCTACGTTTGAGGTGTCCCTTGATAAATACAGTGTGTTTTTGTGCAGAAGTGCCCCTGGTAGCAGCTCATTCATTATTCATGGATGAATGAGATTAATTCTCTTTGTCTGTCTCTTTCTACCTACAATGGCTGTTTAAGAGAAGGAAATCCCCAATCTGCAGTATAATACACTACACAAACAACAGACCATCACTATTTTCTCCTCTCACTGGACTCTCCATTCTTGACACCACTGGGTCTAGCCTTGTGCCACAAAAAGAAGGACCTGAACAGTCAGGCAGCTTGTTTTCTATTCTACTTACAACTGAAAGTTTAACTCAGCTCAATACACTAGGCAACTGATTTGTATACAGTCCTCAGCTGGCCATGGAGAAATGACAAAAGGTAAGAGAAGGTTTTGGTCTGAATGAGTGGAAAACAGCCCCAACAAATAACAGACCAAGACTGTGAAGAGACAAAGGGCTACAGAAGCTAAGATGGAGAGAATGGGTCTAGTTTGGTGACACCTGACCCAGACTGTGAGGTAAAAGAACAGATTTTGGACAAGATGATTTGACATTTGGCTCAGAGGAGAAAAACATTTCATTCCCCCTGAGGACCTGAACACCTCGCACTTGTCACTGCAGTGGTTAAGGAGCTGCTTCTATGTCATTACATACCTTACTAGCAAGCCCCTAATAAGGTTGAAAACAGACTTTAAGGCAGATGATGCCCAGGTTTCCTGAGTTTAAGGTACACTGCCTATCTCAAGCACAAATTATGCCCTAAGAGGGGATGCCAGCACAGCAGGGCTTCAGCATACTTCCACAGTTACTAAAAGGGCAAGGGGTCCCTTTATGAATTGTTTGCACTGGGGACACATGAAATATCTATTCCTTTGTCTGGGAGTTTTCCTAAATAAGGTATTTGTCAAGGTACTGGTTTAGAAACCCCACTCATTTTAATACCCGTGCATTTTTCTGAGAAGCCACCTTCTTCTTTACTCTCACAAAGAGATCACTGTAGACTATAAATAACCATCACAGCTGTCATCTTAAAGGAACAGCAGCTACCTTCCAAAGAGCCAGGCACAGAGCTACTGAGTTTGAAGACACAGTAACAATTCGCTGAGCTCCTTTAATGCTCCTTGCAGATAATGGAATCTTCCTGGGTCTCCAGTATGCTCCGCCATGTGAGATGCTAATGACTTATTTATCTGTGCTACTCATTAATTCTTCATGATGTACGCTTGTTCTCTATCTTCCTCCTCCTAGACTGATGGGTCAGGAGGATTTCCTGGCTGATCAATCTTGAAAATAACACAGCTGAGTACACCTTTTATGAAATGCTTGGGGTCAGATGTGTTTCAGATTTCTAATTTTGGGGGACTGTGGAATATTTGTGCATAATGGGACTGAAGTCTAAACATGAAATATATATATATATATATATATATATATATATATATGTTTCATGTATGCGCTACCTTATACACATAGCCTGAAGATGATTTTATAAAAAATTTTTAGAGCACCTGGATTAAACTGAGACCTATCGGTTTAGGCTAGATGTGGAATTTTCCACTTGTGACACCATGGTGGTGCTCAAAGAATTTTGGTTTGAAACACCTCAGATTTTGTATTTTTGGTTAGGGATTCTCAATCCATTATTCTATCCCCTGCCGGTGTCTTTCCATTCTGACAACATCCTACGAATTATTGCTAAACACCTGTCAGGACTGCAGGAGCCCCCAACACTTAGGAGTTCATGAACAACTAAAGACGTTACATACTAAAATATTAACACAGTTCAATTCAACTTTTCCCCTCAGTGTTTGTAATTCAGGTTACCAACTGTTTACACTTCAAAAAGTCAAACAGAGTAAAGGAAGGGAATTAAATTCCATCATGGTAAGGCAACTACTAAGGCCATTTGCACACATGTCTCTCCTAACTATTTTTTTCTAGTATGTATTTGCAGTACGTAATGATCAATTTATTGTGGGAAATTGTGTATGTAGTTGTTCTTTGTTTTGAAATATTTGTAATCAGACTATGTTTTGTTTTTTAAATCTTTTATTTATTTGGAACAAGGTCTTACTAGGTAGCACAGACTCATAGTGATCCTGCTATCTCAGCCTCCCCAGTGCTGGGATTATAGGTGAGCACCACCACGCCCAGTTTTGGAAGCCAGCTCAGTGCCCAGGGCCAGCCGGGCATGTGGTACCAGGGATCAAACCCAGGTCCTTGTGCTTGTCAGGCAGGTGCTTAGACTGCTTATAATACTATTTATACACATACATAACTTAATGAACTTTTCTCAAATACTTTAGCCAAAGTATTTTTTCAATATTAACATGGCTTCTGAGACTAAAACTACAGTATATTCAAAATAGAAAATACAAAAAAATCTAAGTAAATATTATGTCAAGTCCCATCACCTAGATATGGCTCTTACTAATTTATTGGTACGCTTCTTGTGTTAAACTATTGCATATGGGTCAGGCATGGTAGTGCATGCCTATAATCCCAGTACTTGAGAGGTTGAAGCAGGAGGATTACTATGAGTTTAAGGCTAGCCTGGGTGACAGTGAGTTCAAGGTTAGCCTGAACTGAGACCCTGTCTCAAATAAATAAATAAGTAAATAAACATATTATTTTGGAGTTTTTAGAGTTTTTTCTAAAAAACTCAGCTCAAACTGAGTCTCACTATATAGATTGGACTCACTATATAGATTGGTCTCACTATATAGATTGGACTCATAGTGATCCTCCTGTTTTTCATCCTCCCAAGCACTGGGATTACAGGTGTGAGCCACCATGCCCAGTCTCAATCATCATCTTAGCATGCCCTGGGGGCGGGGCTGGCACAGAACACCAGGGGATGGAATGCCAGTCATTGAATCTGCCTAAGCAGGTGCTTTAATCCACTGAGCTATCTGGCCAGCCCTAGATTTTTACTTTTTTCTTCTTAAAAAAACTGATGAAAGTATGTATAACCTATAAATTGTCTGCTACTTTAAGTTAACATATGGTGGAAATCTTCCCAGGCCATTAAAATTTTGCTGAGGCAATAAAATTCAATTGATAGATATTTTATTATATGTATATACCATTGAGTAATGAGTCCCAGAATTGGAAGTTAAGGGTATTTCCAGGTTTGCAGATTATATGTTTATAAATACGCCTTTATTTGCATCTTGTTATTTCTTAGGATCAATTTCCAGAAGTAGAATTATTAAAAATGTTTAAAGTAATATATATATCTATATATAGATAGTTAGATTACATCAACAGGAAAACGATTTTCTTTACATTCTTATATTAATGGTAATGAATACCATAATTTAAAAAGAACTTTTTTGCTGATCTAAATGTTTTGTTAGTCTGAACAGTTCTTTATTTTTCTTTCTTTTAATATATATATATTTTGTACACGGTCTCACTAGGCAGCTCGGACTCATAGTGACCCTCCTGTTTTCAGCCTCCCCAGTGCTGGATTCCAGGCATGCACCACCTAGACGTGGTTGCTTACTCAGCATGCCTGGGGGTGTGGCCAGAGCAGCATGTGGTGCTGGGGATCGAACCCCAGTCCCTGCGCTTGCCTAAGCAGGCCCTAAGTCCGTTAAGCTATCTTGCCAGCCCAGTTCTTTCTTTTTAAAAAGCAAGCCATAGGGTTTCAATGTTGAGGGAGGTTGGATGAGGAAGAATGGGACTTTCCTTTGCATTGTCTGTATCATCCTGTGAACTGTACGAACAATCACATACCATATAATGATGTCTCTGCCAAAGGGCCGATCTGGAAAAAGTTGTAACAGATCTGGAAAATACCTGTCCCTTACTGATGTCACAGCTGTAAAAAGTGACACAGCAAAAGGCCCTACTCTGCAGTGATGCTGACATAAATAGACCCATAGCCACCTGCCAGTAGTCATATAAAAGTATAGCCACATAACATTATGTGCAGTAGATAAAGCCTAATAACAGCAATATGTGATTGTCACTGCATGTACTGTATCATCAGCTTGGAGTGTAGACCTACTTATAGACTAAACATGAGAAATCAACTATAAAACAGTCGTAGGCTGAGGGATTCAGAAGAAGCACTGTTGTCACAGGAGGTGATAAAGCCATTCATTCTTTTGCCTGAGGACCATCTAGTAGGATAAGATGCTGGGATGAAAGACAGTGCTACTGATAATCCTGACTCTGTGTAGGTCTAACTTAACGTGTATGTCTTAGTTTTAAACAAGAAACTATATAAAAACAAAAACATAAAACACTGTAAAAATAGGTTATAGCTTATAACCTACGTGCCTATTCTACTTGGCTTAGGTGTATAGTAGGTCATACTATCTAGGTTTACATACATGCTCTATATGTCATACAACATGAGGTACTGCTGAGAACACATCCTATTGGCTAAAGTGATGTATACCTGAATTGAAAAATAAGAAATAAAAAGACCTCATAATTATCGGGGTGTGTGTTAAATATATCTATTTTCTATTTACTTGGTGAGATCTTAATATTACTAACATTACTTAATATTATTTGTTTGTTGCTCAAGCCCTAAAAACACTGCCTTTGATTTTGAATTATCTAAACCTATCGTTTTCAAATACAATATTTTTCTTAAGTCTATTATTTGCTTCAGTTTTTGATGCACACTATTTTTCCCCTAGGAATAACAGATTTAGTCAACATTTTTAGCAATTTTTTATTACTCCTCAATTCAGGAAATCTTCTCTACTCTAGAAGCTTAATCAATATTCCATATTTTTTAGTTTCTACTTTGATATTTAACTCAAATTGACTGATGATTCATTCTGACATGCAATGGAATGATTTAAACTTCTCTCCAGGTTATTTTGAGCTGCACTGACCTAACTTATTGGAGAATTCATTTCTTTCTCATTGGTTTTTGATGCTGTTCTCATCTATGTATTTATTTCTTTTATATGTAAAAAGGTGTTTATGGCTCAGACGCTTACTGTGCCAGCTTTCTACAGCTTCTCTGCCCGCCATGAACTAGAGGAGCATTGAGGGCGTATGTTCTGGCTCAGCGTGTCTTCCCTCCTTATATAGCACTAAAGCTTGTCAGAAAACATGTGTTTTGGCCTCACTGGATATAGATTTAAATCTCAGCTTTGTCTCTTATAATTTGAGAGAAGTTAGTTATTTAACCACTCTGGGCTTTCTTTTCCTTTTTAAAAATTAAAGTACCACCACTTATTTCATAAAGTAAAGGCTAGGAACTGGTGAGATAATGCATTCAGATGTTAAAAACACAGCAAGCAGGTAGGCGCTTAGGAGAATTAAGTTCCTTTCTCTTTTAGACTCTTTTAAAAGTTTTGCCTTTTTAGTCTCTTAAATGGACTTTAGGTGCAGAAGGATGTTAACTCCAAGTCACCTGGCCTTCCATGTAGAATCTAAAATAATATAGAATAAAGACCTGATCACCTAATAATATTAAATTTTCACATTTGGGAATATGAAACAGGGAAGGACTAATAGGTTGTGGGAGAAATTTAGACAGGAAAGTGTAGATTTCAGAATTCAAGTCCCCAAATCCAACATCAAAGATGGGTAATCTAGGGCCAGGGGTTCGATCCCCGGGCCTGCCATACCCCAGGGGCATGCTGAGATGGCAACTGAGACTGGGCATGGTGGTGCATGCCGTAATCTCAGCTCTCGGGAAGCTGTAAACAGGCTGATCATTACGAGTCCAATCTGGTAGTGAGACCCTGAACACCCTGTAGACCCTTCACTAAAATATAAAAAACAAACAAACAAAAAAAGATGGGTAATCTGTGCAGATAAAAGAAGGAACAGAAAGCAACAAAGGCAGTGTAAGGTTGTAAAAACAGCGCCCCTGGGCTGACTCCACCACTGAGGGGCTCTATTTCTCAACAGAGTAGTATTTGAGGTGCCTGAGAATGATCTATGGGGGAAAAATGGACTTCATTTTCAGTCTGCATGACCATTTCCACTTTTTTGTTTACTTCCTGAAGACAACAATAGCTTTTGCCTTGCTGGGAAAGTGAGCCTGAGTCACTCTGAGAAAAAAAAAGGATAAATCATGGGGATCAGAAGAAATCTGGAAAAGGAAATAAATGAGACATGATTAGAGACTTAAGGAGGCTGCTTCGGAAGATGTGAGTTTGAGGTTGCTCTGTGAGGGCAATTTATAGCATTCAGGCTTATGATATATTCATTTTCAGATCACTCTAAAAATAGTCATTTTTTTTAATACCTGAGATTTTGGTTTCTATCCCAAAACACAAATGGGCCCAAGTATGTACACTGAGCACAATCTCACAAAAGCCTAAGTAAAAGCTACCTAACTACTCATTAAAAGCATAAATGCAACTTCTAGGATATACTACATATGAGGTAAGTATCATCTGGAAATACAAATGTACCCCGAGACCGCCATGGGACATGGCAGCAGACAAGCCTGAGTGATGGCTGACAGCTACCCCTACGGCTGGGCCCTGGTTCAAGCGAGTGTGCAGATTCAAAAAGGGTCTACCTGCTAAGCCATGCTTTGGCCCAGGCAGAAAGGCAGACCACCACAAGGAATGGTAAGGTGTTACATTCTGCAGGTGACAGTCTGGATCTAGTGCTATTTATTGACCAAAAGATTGCAATTGTAATGCAACACTTTTTCCCTCAAAGTGTACCACTGTGTTTGGTAAAAAGAAAAAACAGCACAGGTTTTATGGAGTGAGCAAAGAAAGCTGGCAAGGAACTGAGTATGACAGGCCACAGAAATTTAGATTTCTTGAGGAATAACAGGAAAAACTATTGTCTCTGTACAGTCAGGACTTCGGTACTATCTAGTAAAAGGAACGATGTGGAGAAGAATAAGGTAAAAAAATATACAGAAGGAAGAAACTGAGGAAAAAGCATCCTGAAGCTGTTCATAGCACATCCTCTCATGGAGTATCTGCAACACTGGGAGTCCCATCCAGGCAGCAGCTGTGGCAGCAGCCAGCTGTGCCCAGCACCCACGAGGCAGTGGCAAGGTAAACACCACTCAGGAAGGCGAAGCAGGGAAATCGTGCTAGTGGGCAGAGGACACCACAGAGGCCGAGGCAGTCACAGATGGTACCAGATGAGAAACCTACCCACCTCTGCCAGATTGTCACCCAACTTGGCAACAGCAGGCGGGTCGAGCAGCAGAGATTCGGCATGGATTCTGCGTAAGCGTTCTTTAAGATCTGTGTTTTGTGCTATGGCCTGGAACATGTTAAAAACAGCGGTGCTCTGTTAATACATGGAAGTTTCAGGAAAGGACAGCAGGGGCCCAGTGGAAGAGCTCTCTGAGAGCTGAGAGAGCTGGCGGTGGAGGCCAGAGGGGCACTTCTGGGGTTGCTCCAGGAGCTCTGGAGCGGGAGGATCTGATTCCCACAGAGGTAACACACAGGGGACTCGAAATAATGCTCCATTGTTAATCTCATTTCCAGAAGTAGGAAGGTTGGGAAGAGTCACAGACACCCCCAATGTCATTAGGTTAGTGGCCCTATCATAGCATCTCTCTCTCCTGACCAAGGGTCTTTGGTTTTTCTGGCCACTCCCCAGCAATTACTGGCCCAGCAGTAATTCCAGGTTTCGCTCATTCTTGAAAAGATGCTGCTCCCACCTTGTGATCAAGCCTACTGAAATGTGATTTCATTTTTACACAGCTAAAGAGGATCTCAGGAGGGGTGCTGGGAAGCAGAACTTTATGGAAGGTTAATTTTACTCTTTTCCAATGTAAGTATTGGTTATATTTTAGGACTAAGACAATTTCTATTCTTTTTTTTTTTTTTTTTTTTTTTAAATAAAACAAGCCAATCTCACTTACCTGCATAAGGGCTTAAATACAGTGGCCTTGGGAACGGGTGGATGTTCACTGTAAGCATATCTGAGATGAATCAGACCTCTAATTTCCCCAAGTAGGCCCTACCTCTTGACTAGGAAGACCTGCTGAAGCTAGAGGAAGACATTTCTTTCCTACTGATATTCCTGTGTACTGCACCACCAACTGTCCTCCAAGCGCTCTGGCTTTGGAAGGAGACAAGCTCTCCTGATTATCCCCAAACGCTCCCATAATCTGCTCCATGGGTAATTTAATGTGAATGCATTCTATCTGCCTTTCTGACACTCTTCTAAAAAGCTCAGAGCCTTTCTCATCCTCGAGGGTCTACAGGGCCTACCTTCTGCGTGACAAGAAGAATATGGTTCTGTCTTACCCTCTTCTGGATTACAAAGAAGGATTTTGCCTTTAGGTATCCATGGAAGTACTGGGTTATTAAAAAATCCTTAAGACTCAAAAATTTAAGAAACATGAATTCATACAGGCACATACAACACCCTCTTCAGGATGCTCAGCTCATCCTGGCTGCTGTCTCACTGGTATAGTAGTTGGGATCATAGCCTAGACTGCAAATAATGTTATTCTAGAAAGTTCTTTTGTAAGCCTCAGGTTGAAATAAGAAAGAAACACACCAAGACAGTGACACGCAGCCCCAGCATATCCACTCTGATTGCTCTAAGATGATCCTAAAATTTATTTTTAAAAAAACAAAGCTTGGACTGAATTAGGAGTACAAACTAAACAGGAAAGAAGAGATTCTTTTGATTTAAGTTTCTAAAATCATGAACAGAAGTGTAGTGGATGATGCACTGTGTCAATTTGAGAAGTCTAGAAGCTTAACTAAGTAACTCAGTAGCTCTACAACCTGGGGTGTAGCAGACATGCCCTTCCCTCTAGGATGCTGTTCATTGTGTCAACTTGAGCAGTTTAGAGTTTAACTAAGAGACTCAGCAGAGGGCCAGGGTCCTCACTTATAAACATCCTGAGCCTGTGTAAAATGAGGGCACCTGGATTATGTGAGCGCTATACTAACCCTAAGGGGAGGGTAGCTTGCATACAATGTAAGGGAGGAAAAGAGACTTTGCTTTGTGGTCTTCTGCTACCTTGAGCTGTTGCCCCTCACCATGCCACCTTGCCTCAGAGCCAGCTAATTACAGACTGAAACCTTCACAAACTCTGAGTTAAATAAACCTTCTTTCCTTCATTTGGAGTATTGGGTATTTTGTCTCAGCATTGACAGAAGAGTAACTAAGACAATGAGTGAGAATGAATTTCTTATAGCAAAGGTGAAGACAGGGGCCGGGGAGATGGCTCAGTGGAATAGGTGCTTGCCTGGCAAGCACAAGGGTCTGAGTTCAATCCCCAATCCTGCAAAAAAAAAAAAAAAAAAAAAAAAAAAAGTGAAGACCACTTTGGCCCCAGATATCATGGCCAGATGAGCCTCAATGGCCATACTATGGCAGATAAATGAGAGGAGGCCAGATCTCTACAAGCCGCAGTGAGGCAGGAAGAGGGAAAGCATGTGGAAAAAACTTTTGAGAGGCCCATTACAGGTCCCTCCTAAATGCACTAAAAGCTACCCTGCTGGAAACAACAGGAACTGCTGTTCCACTAAGTAAAAATCTTTAAACACACACACACACACACACACACACACACACACACACACACACAGAGCGCTTTGCTAACTAGCAACTCAATATGTGGCTGGCTCTTCACTACAGTCCAAAAGGGTGTTTTTCTATCTCTTGACGTTTCTAAAGACTCTACATGAGGAGTGAGCCAATGTCATTTTTACTCCTTTCAAAAATAATACATTTGAGTTGTCAGCTGAGTGAATGTACTTTTAAAATTGTAAAGGATATATTATTAATATTATAATGACTTTTATAATTACCATGACTTTTCCCAGAAACACGATGAGCAAAAACATAGACATTTTCATGCCCATAATGGCTTCTGGTAGAGATCTTAAAATTCATCTCCCTTACCTGACCTAAAATAGAAAACTCAGTACTTCTTCAGATGGTAGTTTCGTATGTGCTCATTTCATACACAGAAAAATAAGGATTCCAAGCAAAGAGCAAAAACAAAACAAGCATGCTATTTCAAACATTTCTTGCTTCTTGCTAGATAAAGAATGAATTTTTAGGCAATTCAGTTGTTTAGATAGAGTTAGGACACGAGAAGTCAACCACAGAGTTTGACTACTCTGAGGAGTGAATTGAACAAAAGAAGATAGGGAGTGAATGACAGGATGGCTTTAGGAAACACATCTGAGGCCCTAGCAATGATCTTTGCATTGCTGTGAAGGCACAATGATTACCTAATGGACACTTTTGTATGAAGCATCTGTCTGTGCCCATGGGGGCAAAAAGCTAAATGTTTCGTGCTATTTAATAAAATACAATAACTTTCATGTCTTTGAAAGGGTGGTTAAGAAGGATCAGTGCTTTGCAGGAGAGAAGCTAAGAGCATAAATTGGAAAGTTCTCTCTGCCACCTGTGATTTGAGGAGTCAATCTAAACTGGCAGTATTCCACATCCAAAAATCTCACCAGACTGTCAGATTTCATAAGCATTAACAAACACATGTCTGTAGGGCACACACAGACACACAGTAAAGAGACAGAAAAATTCAGATAAATTGGAGGAAACCAAACTTAAAGAATCTAACACTTAATAAAATACAATTATTAAGACTTAGGGAAAGAAAAGACAGAGTAGGCTGTTTCCTTATTTAGACTAAACAGATCTGATAAAAGGTTAGAATACAATTTAGATAGTTTCATTTTCTCTTGAATCTTCAACACAGTCATGAAAATCATGGAAATGGAAAAGATAAGCAAGGAGCACATCTGCAGTCATCTCGCTGACACAGACACATAACTTACGGACGACAGAGCGTGCTTCAGACCAAGGGACTGAGCAGAAGGGGCGGAGGAGGCATCTTGCTCCATCAGCTGCTTCAGTCTCTCTCTCTCCACCAATATGGTGTTAAAAGCCGACCTTAAAGCGAAGTAAACTACAAAGATATAATCATTGTAAGTGGGATCAAAAGAAGAGGCATAATTAAAAACAAAATACAAAAAACTGTATTTCTCACAAAAGAATTTAACAAAGTAACAGCCCTAAATATTTTGAGTTCAGCAAATATAAATTCTACATTGACTTTTAAAAAACACATTTGCAATATACAACATCAAGAGCGAGTAAGACGAGGACTGGCCAAATAGCTCAGTGGATTAAGGTACCTGCAAGCAGGCTCAGGGGCTGGGGGTTCAATCCCCGGGCCTGCCATGCCAGCCCTGCCCCTAGGGTACACTGAGACAGCAACTGAGACTGGGTGTGGTGGCGTGCGCCTGTAATCCCAGCTCTCAGGAGGCTGTAAACAGACGGATCACTATGAGTAGGATCTAGTAGTGAGAGCAGGATCTAGTAGTGAGACCCTGAACACCCTGTAGACCCTTCCCTAAAATAAAAAAAATTAAAAAAAGAGTGAGTCAGATGATACACTATAGGTTCTGGAAGAGGATAGGTCAGTGCCTGTCCTCAGCTGAATGTGTCCCACTCTGTTTTGGGACACTCAGTGAGGAGGCTGCGCCTAGAGCACAGGGTGTCTGCTTTCTGCTCAGTTTTGCTGGGGGCCTAAAGGTGCTTTTGAAAGTCTGAACATTTATACACATACACACATTTGCCAGTTATCAGGCACCTTCCCACTATAACATCCCATGGTTTTATGTTTTGTGGAGTCTCAACAATCAGCATTTAGTTGTGTTTGATTCTCAAGACAGAATATAGTTAAAAAGAAGGCTTAGTGGTTATCAGAGGGAAAGTGATAAAAAATTGATAGCTCCTGAACAAGTTAACCAAATTAATTAGATGAGAGAGTCAGGTGATGCTGTGCCTCTGTGTTTAATACCCTGGAAAAAGATACTTTCTTCCTGATTGAGCACCAGCCAGGGACATACATCTGGATTTGATCATGAGGAAACAACAGACAACTAAACATCCTGTTTTCAAAAATGGTCTGTTGTCTTCAAAAGTATTAATCTTACAAAAGAGAAAAAAAGAGGGAACTGTTCCCAATTAAAGGGTCTCAAATGACCCAGCATATTATTAAATTCCAGAGGCTTGCATTTGCAAAGGTATTGCTATCAAGGAGTGACCTTTTTAGTGACACAGATACTAATATATCACTGACTACTTCCTTCAGGGAGGACAACTGAACCTTTCTACATGCTATCACTGAACTTGACTGAGGCTCTAGCAGTTAGTAATGGAGTTAGAGCCTCTCACAAAGGCGTGTAAAGATGAGCTATTTATACGTACACATACACAAACACACCCCCACACACACTATATAGTGCTGCTTCTATCACTAAAAGGGAAGGGTCGATCCATGGCTTATTCACTCTGTGACCCAGGACAAGTATATGAATGCTTGAATCCCAGTTTCCTCGTAGCACTTAAGGTGTAGAATGTTGTAAGAATTAAGGCAGATAATGCAGGTAAAGCGCTTAACCCAATGCGCAGCCTATAATGAACTATTAATGTTACTACAATAGTAACAGTGACGATGACGAAAGAGGAGCATGAGGATGAATGTGACGGTGACTATAACCTCTTGAAATTGGCAGCAGCTCTAGAAGGAAGCTTTAGTCTCTTGCCAGGACAAGCAACAGAAAGGCCGTGTAAATAACTGCACACAGGAGAGAGTCTGTGAATGAAGGACCAGATGCCACCTACTGAGCCTGCTTTCTCAGGAAACAAAGCAGTGAGCCATGCAGTGAGCCCACTGCATTTTATGTCCTAGTAGACACGTGCGCCCGCCCATAGGACACCCACAGCCATCTCAGTGGGTCCCTGGGGAGCTACTTCTTTACCATCACATTTTTTTCTTCCAAATAAAATAAACATAGCACTCAGCTGGCTACCACTTTCCCCAATTGATTCCTCTGGCTTTCAGCAACCAAGCTAAAAGCTACCTACTTAAATTTTATAAATCGGAAAAATATGTACATGATTCAAAATGCACAGCTGAGACTGTGGTGGGAATAAAGAAAAAGAAAGGTGCTCACATAGTCATTACTTCCTGGGAGGTGCGGAACTTCTCCTCAGTCATCTGACAAAGTGGTTCAGAGTGTACTAAATCCCTCAAATAGTAGTTGAGGAGCACAGAAGACACTAATGAAATCATTCACAGCTACCTAGTGACCCAGTACATCCAGAACAGTGACAAGAGACTGTTTATGGATCACATTTATACGAAATGTGAAAAACACAGGATCCCAAAGTTCAGGAATATTCTCTGTGACAGAGGACCTTAATTCTGTCTCGATCCTAAGTTTATCAGAGACACAAGTTTTAAAAACAGAAAATCCAAACAGAATGACGATAAGTATGGATGCCTGATAAAAAGTCATTCAGAAAATCTGGGACACATAGAGCTACAAAGAGCCACCAAGACCGTCACAGCCACCTACCCAAAGCTTGGCCAACTCTCAACTCTTCTACATCACCAATATCCCCCCTAAACTGTGCTTCTGGCCCACATTTCTCCATGTTCTGGCTACTCCCTCAGGCAGGAACTACTTTCTCTTTCATGCATTCAAACATGAGAATGCAATTATGGGGTCTCTGCTTACGCATCTTTCTGTCACCAGCCATTTCCCAGATGTCCTGCTGCTGTAAGTAGGTGTGACACAGGATGAGCTTTTGACTTTAAGAACCATTAAGCTGCACTCGCTAAATGGAAAACCAAGAGCACCCAACCAACTCCCGGTGATCACTGCCTTTACTGCTGCTCCCACGCTCTCCTTGTATAGGGTTAGGATGAAGAGACCACAATACACAGCGTGCTACCAGAGACAGTCACGCTGTAACAAAGGCAAATGTGAACTTAAAGCCTGCCTCCCTCTATCGCTTCACTGCCATTTACATCATAGAAATAGGATTCTATACCTGTGTGTGAATGATGCCTGCATCTCAGTGCTTTAAGGAAACACTAAGAAAACTTACTATCATGTGGCACCCAACACAGTAGGATTCATTTCTTTCTTTTAATGAAACTATATTTTGTGTGAATTATCTTTAAAATATTGACATGCCTAAAATACATGGGATGATGTGATTTTTTATGTAGTCTGCTTCCTTTCAGTTTTAAACTTTATTGAATAACCTTTAAGTTTTTTTTCTGTATTTTAGAGAAGGGTCTACAGAGTGTTCAGGGTCTCACTACTAGATCGGATTCATAGTGATTCTCCTGTTTACAGCCTCCCAAGTGCTGGGATTATAGGCGCATGCCACCACAGCAGGCCAGGGATTGAACCCCCAGCCCCTGTACCTGCTTGCAGGCACTTTAATGCTGAACTACTTGGCTGGCCCTTGGTACAGGGTCTTGCTATACATTCGGACTCATAATGATCCTCCTGTTTCAGCCTCCCCAGCCCTAGAATTACAGGTGTGTGCCACTACGCCCATATACAGGCATGCATGGCATGTCTACGAACCCAGGGCTGGCATGGCATGCAGTACTGGGAATTGAACTCGGGTCCTTGCACTTCCCAGGCAGGCACTGAGATTGTTGAACTATCTCCTCAGCCGTACCCATAGTTTTAAAATATTCTGAACCCATGTACTATCCAAATTGCTTTAGCTATATTAGGTGACTGTACTAAATGCTCTTATTTATTGATAATGTACCTGAGCTTAATTGTTCAGCACACATATACTCAATTATAATTTATGTAAAATACATGACATGGCTTTTCCTTAAGTCATATATGTCTTTTTTTTGTTTTTTTTTGTATTTTTTAGGGAAGGGTCTACAGAGTGTCCAGGGTCTCATTACTAGTGATCCACCTGTGCACAGCCTCCCAAAAGCTGAGATTATAGGCATGCACCACCATGCCCAGTCTCCATTGCCATCTCAGCATGCCCTGGGGGAGGGGTGCCCAGCAAAGTAGGCCCAGGGATCAAACCCCCAACCCCTGTGCCTGCTTGCAGGCGCTTTAATCCGCTGAGCTATTTGACCAGTCTATCTTTCAGGTTTTAATCTATGAATGTGTGTATTAGTTGATACATTGTGTCAACTTGGCTGAATCAGCTACCGCAGAGTGGAGACCTCGCCCTTCAGGTGGGCAGGGCCCAGGAATTGAGAAAGGCAGGAAGCCGCCCTGCCTGGTTTCCTGCCGCCCCACCCTGCTTCTGAAGTCCCAGTCTTCGGAGGAGCTTGACCTTCACAGCGGAGCCACTTTGGAGGAGCTCCTATCTTTACTGTGGAGCGCTGGTCTTTGCAGTCAGCGCAGAAGGAAGAGAGAGGCTTGATGGACGCCGCTGCAGCTGCTGCCCCTCCTCTGCTCTTCATTGTTTTCTGCTGCATGAACTGCTGTTGTTTGCCTTGGAGCTAGCGAAATATGGACTGAACCCTCCAGTAACTGTGAGCTAAATAAACCTTTCCTTCCTTCATCTTGTGTCAGATATTTGTCCCAGCAACGAATAAAAAGTAACTAAGACAGAATTTGGTACCAGGAGTGGGGTCATTGCTGTGGCTATACCTGACAATGTGAATTACAAGCTTTTGGGACTGGCTTATGGGAAGAGATAGGAAAGGTTTGGAGAAATCCGGTACTTGTGAAGAGCTGGAACAGCTTTGGCTGTTTTGTTTGGGAGATTCTGGTCAGAGCTCAGACCAGAAGACTGACAGAAAGCCTGCTTGTAAAGACCAGGCTGGGAAGGTTTCTGCTGGGAAAGACAGCATTGGTTGTTGTACTCCAGATCATTTGTGTTTTGACCTGGCAGAAAAGTTGTCTGCATTTTGCTTATGTCCAGAGACTTTGCCTGAGACTGAGTTTAAGCATGGTGGACTGATCAATCTGGCAAAAGATATTTCAAAGCAGCCAAATATTGGGGCAGTGTCATGGTTGTTGTTGGGGGCTTTTAGCCAGATTTCTGTTAAGAATGAAGAGCAAAAAGCCCAAAAGGATGATTTAAAATTGTTGTGAGTTTGGCCAGAAAGGAAGC